GCAGAACTGCTGTGGTTTTGCTGCACACTTGGTGACAATGGCTGGAGTACTCAGGTGCTCACTGCTGAAGTAGTGCAGCTGATTCCTCAGCCTCATCTTTCCTGTGGTCTGTGATCAGTCCATAACCCCTAGGTAGATGCTGAGCTCGTCTCCTGAATGTTCATTCTGGGTTTGTGGTCTGTATGGTCAGAGCCTTTACGTGGGCAGAGAAAAATGATTCTATTATTAAGAGCTGAACTTGGAATTTGCAAATGACAAAATGTTGGCATCAACGAGTAATAGGAAAGGAAGAACAGCAATAAAATGTTGAGTCCTGTAATCCACACAGCCTGAGATGCCTGCTCACAGGATATGGCCTCCAGCATCTACACGCTCTTCCAGTTGGAACGTGGACGAGTAGTAACCTCACAGTTGCTTTGAGTTAAATTAGCAGTAACATCTCTGCAGCACCATGGTCCATCTGAGGTGGGCAGGGATGGGGAAGGGGCAGAGTACCCCACTCTTCATTGTCATTTTTCCTTCTGTGCAGGATGGAGCAGAGACAGAATGGCACAAACTCATTTCACCTGTAGCAGTGATCCCTCTTGCTTTCCTTTGAGAGGTTTGTAGCTTGTGCCCAATTAGACAAGAGTTAAAATCTGCAATTAAAAACACTAACATTTTAGTTTAGAAAGTGGAGGCAGACTGGAATAATCCAGAGCAGACAGCAGGGTCAACGGCAGACATGGTCTGTAAATTGACTCTGTCTGGTGTGAGCAAACTAGGTAACTGCTGATTAGGCAGGTCTTGTGATGTGCCTTTTGTGAAAACAAATTCAGGCTGTAGCCTTCCGCACACAGTACAGCTGATGATGAGTTGCTGGTTAAAGGTCTGAGAAAGCAGCTTTCAGATGCTGGGCTTGTCAGAAAAAAAAAAAAAAAGAAAAAAAAAAAAAGCAGGAGGAGACATTAGTAATGAAAACAAACGTACATAAAGAGCTGGATGGGTAACACGAGTGCAGAGGTCAACAGCATGATGTGCCCTGAAGTGTGTGGCAGGAAACTGTGTAAAGTTAAAGCTGACCTGGGACACTGGAATAGCTTCCATGTGTTTATTACTTGCTGTGCTCGGATCTTCGTAGGGCAGACATTATCGGTTGTGCTTTTCTTCCCCCGTGCAGGGTGTCGCAGTTTTAAGTTGCTTCCTATCTCTGGAGAAAGCTTGTAAAATTGCAGTGCAGGTACAGGTGTTGGCTTTGGTGGGGGAGGCTGAAGTGTTTCAACGTGTGCCATCACCAGCCAGCCAGGTCAGCAGCAGGGTGGTGGTGGTGGGGGCTGGAGCTGTTCAGGGTGAGTGACTGCAGAACCTTTTCCTTTCACTCAGCACAAAGGTGGCTTTTGGCAGCTCTTAATGAATCCCTTCTCTTCTAAATGAGTAGCAGGAAAGAGAGCCTTCACATTGCTGTTGACAACAGTTTTTTCATGGGTGTTGTGAAGAAGTCTCATATCACAGAATGGCTTGGGCATGGTTGTGCCCTCCAGGCCCCATCCAAGCACCTCCAGGGATGGGGCACCCACAGCTATCTGGGCACCTGTGCTTTTTCATCAGGTCTCATTTCTATCTGTCTCATATTCACAATTCACAAATCTGCTGAGAATTTCTAAGCCATCTTATGGATTTGCAGACTTTAAATAATTTTCTGTCTGGGAGATTGGGCTTGAATAATAGAAGGAAATAAAAGGGAAGGAACTTGTTGTTTTAATTCTTGTGAGTGTGAGATTTCAGTCTAGCATTAGGAATAATTCTGATTGTTTTTGTAATCACAGTGTACTCAAAGACAAGTAATTACAAATTTTACAAAAACAAACAAAAAACCCAGGAACTCAAGGCAAATTATTATAATTATTAATTGACTTACTCTACAAAAGGCAGCTGCTGTAACTTTATGTGCATGTCCAGTATCAGCTGCTTATCTATTAAGCTTTGGAAAACCAGCTCTGACAACTTCAAGAAATACAGAAGCATGGCAAAAAGTGGCATTGATGTTTCAGTAAGTGACATTCTCTCTGAGCCAGCAGGAACAAAATGCTGTGGAAGCATTGGAGGCCCTAGGAGGCACCACTTCTAAATAAGGCCAAGAGCCAAGACTCAACATCTCATGAAAAGTGAGAGGTTCTCCAGTGCACAGATCATAAATATGTATATTTGCTTATAGACTGCACAGAGCCCTAACTAGCAGTGGAGAAAGACATCAGCATTTTTTTCTCTTTGCAGTACATGTGAGCTTAATAAATGCTATTGGGTATTTCTGCAATGGTAGCTCTAAACAAAGTACTTTGGATCTCTTAAATAGGAGTCCTGTTGTAGCATCGGACCTTCCTGCAGAGAAGTTCTCTGCACACTGTTGCTCCGGTTGAGTGTAAGGCTTGTATTTTTTTTATCATCCTGTACCAGGAAGTCATGGATGTTGCCACCATTGTGGTTAAGCCTCTAACCAAGATGTCACTTCTGGCAGTCTGGGTGTCTTGCTACCAACCACTGGATTCTGAAAAGGAGTTCATGTTCAGATTTAGACAAGGAGGAATCATAGACTGGAATTAAAACTGCATTTCCCATTTGGCTTTGTTCTGATCCACGACTGTTCTCACAGTACAGTTAAAAATAAAATGACCTCTTTCTTTTTCTAGCTGCTGTCAAAATTGTCATTCCTCACCAGATGCCCTAACTTCCCACTGCTCCCTGCTGGTACTGCTGCCCCTGTTGTCTCTTTGTCCAAAGAGTTTCTGAACAAGAGACAAGCTTTTATGGAGCCTGGCAAAGCTTCAGAAGGGAAAAGGAAAAATCAATACTGCTTCAAAGCCAAGTCTTTGCTTCAGTGAATATGACATTTGCCCTTTCTTCACTAGGGGGAAAAACAACAAGGGCACTTAGACCGGCAATGGAAATAGAATGAACAACAGAGAGACCTTCCAGGTTTGACATGTAAAGGGAAATAACTTTGTAGTTATTGTCCCTATTTGGTGACATCAAAAACAGGTGTAGAGTGTAAGGCGGTGCAGGCTGAGAATGAAGTGGAAAGTAACACAAAGTCAAAGAGAAGAGTTGAAGGAATTTGGAACAAGTGATAATGGACTTGGCTGAAAAGATGGAGAATGAAAGACACTGTGCAAAGGTGAAGTCCATTGTTGTACAATCAAATTAACTATTAAATGTCAGCTGCAAAGGTGCACCGTAACATTAAAAGGACCTTCCAGTAAGTTTTACACCATTTTGACAGCTTTACAGCTACTGAAAATGTCCATAGAGCCTCACAGTTTGCTAATGAATGGCCTCTCCATAAGGATGAAGCAGTTCAGAAACTTTGAAAGAGAAACTGGAAATACCAATTAAAGAAAGGGATGCTTCTGCAAAATCAAAACAAATTTGAAGAACACTCACTTATATTTTTGGAGGATTAACAAATAATTAAACTAAATATAAGCCTTAGAAGTCTGCTCCAATTCTTTTCCATATCCAGGTTTTCATTCGTTTCATTCTAGAGCTGGTTATGACTCCCTGATTCCATTCTATTTTGACTATGCCACTCCTGAGCTAGTTTTCCAAGTTGTGTTGTTTTGATGTTTCTAATTTGTGTCATTCACATGGAATTTTATGGACCTGTTTGCTTTTGAAATAAGATCCATCATTTAAATGTTGTGTCATTGTTCAAAAATAGTTTTTTCCTTATGTGGAGCTGTGCCTTCAGCTGCTACCAGCAGTGGTTAATTTGCAGCACCTAAATTCCCTGCTGAGTGGGTCAGCTGCTGCTGTTGCAGTCAGGTAACAGAGCAGGCGTCATCCTTGGTGAATCAAATAGCATGACTTCTGAGGAGCATAGGTGTAGTGCAGCAGGACAGTCATGTACTCATACTCTGACCCCTGTACTGGTGCTGGGCGAGAGTTCTGCAGCTACAAGAATCAATAAAAATGTATTGATTTCTCTGTACTGTCATAAAGCTTGTCTGCTCTCATCTCCAGTTTGCAAGCAGAAAAAGAAGACTGTAAAACTACAGTTGTCTTAGGCTTTCTCTCACCTCCCCCATTCCATGCTCATCACTCCGGAGACCAAGATCTGTTTCTGACATGCTGCCCCAGCTGCTCTATCAGCATCCTACTCTTTTAACACTTTGTGTTGGAAAAATAGCTGGTTTTGAAACTAAGTAAGTGCAGAGGGATTGCCTTGGAGACTAAAGGTGAGTGATTCTCTGGAGCTTAACACATCCCAGTGCATGCACAAAAGGGTAGCCAAGGACAAATAATGTGATGAGGAGTTCATTGTCTCTGTAGCTATTGCAGGTCTGCATAAAGTTTCTTTTCTAGGCCTTTTCAGATCCCTTTGAAACTGATGTTTTCTGTTCTAGGAGGAATAGTGGGTAGCGATCGTTGATATGAAGAATGTAGGAATGTCCTCCACTGCTGGTAAATAATACTTAACTTCACAGCAACTGTCACCTAAAACCATACCTGTCAAAAGGCAGCTGTGCAGATAATGTGCAACTAGTGTTCATGCAGATTATTTGAGAAGCTTGGCTTCAAGCTTCTGGGATAGATGCAACAATTTGTCCACTGTATAATCAGTTGATTAAACCCCAAAGTGCTGATAAAACACAGATTGCAGTCATGGAACAAACAGGTTGGAAAAGATTCACCCAAAAGACAAAAGTACAAGATCCCTGCACATTGTTGAGTACAGTTTGATATTTCCATGATTTCACTGCCTGACCTGCAGTATCACTAAACAATATTTATAATATCTAATATCTGTAATATTACAATATTACAAAAAAGCATCAAAGGGGTGCATCTTGCAGCGTGTAAAAGCATCACCCTTGGATCCTTTTCTTTCTGTGGAGAATGAGGACTTTGACACTCAGCTGTTCCTATTGATAAGGTCCCCAGCTGCACCAATTTTGATAGAAATATCGGCAGAGCAGCAGAGTAGATACCAGTAGATACAGAGTAACTACTGGTCAAATAACCAACTGTGCCTCTATCACTGTCAATATTTAAATTATGTGTTACTTAATGTAAGATATTTGTGGCACAGGAAGTAGGCACTGCTTTCACTCTACCAGCTGAAGGGCAAGGCAGACCTGCTGACAAGTAGGAAAATCCGGGTTTATCAGCCCTACTGGTTTAGTGAGTTTCCTTGCATTGATGCTTTGAGCAAGTAATTCTAAGAATGTGACTTTTTAAATGTATGCTGTTGGGCTGCTTTATGCAGGATGTTGAGTCAGACTCACACATAGTGTTATTACTGAGGTCTGCAGAAGGAAAAGGGAAAATTTCTTTGTGAGCAGTTAGGAAGAAAATACAGGTGAGTCCCTAGAAGGATCTTTGGGGGATCTCCACAGTTCAGCTGGCAGTGAGAATGAAGAGAAAAATAAGAATGTTTTTGGCATGCTTTACCAGAATATATTGTATGTTTTTGTTGGTCCTTTTTTTTTTCTTTTTTTTCCTAGTGGGATCAAATAAAAATCTCTATTGGATTTTCCTGTTAGTGGGATAATTACACTTGAGTATGGTAGCAAGGTAAAAGTGTTATGTGTTAGTCACTAACGTGCTGGTATATTTTCTGATAATATTTCAGCATTCAATTGACTTGTGCATTATGCTTAATTGTTTTTAATATAAAGCAACATATACAATACGAGGTAAGAAAAGGTTGGGGAAAAGGCATGATCTCTTTCTCTGTGGCAGTTGGTTCCCACAAGAACTTGCTCTAACAACATTATTGGGGCTTGCAGGTGCAAGGCCCTGTGAACAATAAAGAAAGGTGTGAAAACAAGGGGAAAACACTGCCTCAGCAGCTGTTGTGAAAGAATGGAGAGCTGCAAATAAGAGCCCCTCTGTGCTGCTAAGGTTGAAGAGCAGAAGTACCAATGCACAGCACAACAGCCTGCATTCAGTTCCAGGTCAGGCAGATGTGATCTCGTTGTGTCCAGTGTCTCATCTGTGCCCTAGACTTGAGCCATAACCCTGCAATGGAATAGGTCAACATAGCCTTTACATCAAGATATACATGCAAGCCACTATTTGCTTGGGTTTTGGGCAGGCTTTTTAAAACAGTGTTTATAAAAAGAAAAGGAATACAATCCTTCCCAAATAAATGGACAGAAACTCACATCTCTTCTCTCCCTTCTACGCAGATACCAGGATTGCGTAGCCCACACGTAGAGTCACGCTGGCATACATAAAATATAGCTCAATCAAGCTGGTGAAACAACCCAGATTTTAGAGATGAAGGTCTCTAAACTGGGAGAGAGCTGCTGCTGACCCGCAGGCTGTTAAAGCCCATGACTGTTTGCTCCAGCACTGCAGTTGCTATGGCAATTCATATAGACAAAAGCAGTAACCTTTCAGGTTACAACCAGGTAAAAAACTAGGACTTAAAATATACTCAGAAACAAACAGGAAGCTGATATAGCTGCCAAAGGATCGATATACTGTATTCTCTGTGTCTAATACCGTTTCACAACCAGGCAGCTGCATTCTGTATGAGCTGCACATTCCCAGTTCCTTTGAACAGTTGCACCACATAGAGCACGTAACAGCAACACTGACTTTGTAAAAAACAAAACAAAACAAAAACTCCTGTAAAGAAACTGGAAAAAGAAAACAAATGTCCAAACAGGCAATGGCTACTTGGATCCTTAAAAATGTAATTTTGATGGTGTCTGAGTCCAGACTCTGTTGGGAAACTAAGAAGAAAATCAAGCAACTGCAAATGACAAATCTTCACGACAGGAGGGAGAAAATCATGCGAGTATGATGGGATCGGGTGAGTTTTAAGATAGCAGGCTGGACCTCATGTTTCCATTTAATTAGTGACTACATCTTGTTCATGCTCCTGAGACAATGGCATCTTAAATTGCATTTAAAATATGCTTCTCGGAAGAAGTGGAATTGGAAAAGACAACAGGGTTGTCAGCAGCTACTTTTATACAAGCACATAATCTTAGTTTTGTCATCTCTAGTAATGAAGCCAGTGATATAAATGAGAGATCTAATGAATGGAGGCCACAGATTTATCACACTATGGCTCTGGTACATTGCTTACAAACATCATTACAAAGTGCAAAATATCACATCAGAAAACAGATATATGTATCTGAATTTTCTTCTCTAAGTAGGATTTTCAATCCCTGAGTTCTTTTTCCTCATGTATGCACAAAGGGACCCAAATAGGTTACAAAGATGTACTCAGCTCCTTTCCCCACCAAGCAGTTCATAGGTCTTTGAGGCTAGCAAAACCAGAAATGCTGCAACAGCAGAACTGTGGCACGACATCTTTATAGGGCACTATCAAGCCAGAAACGTTGACTGACAGCAAAGCTGCAGTGTGAAATCAACAGTGATCTGTCAGCTTTCACCGACTGTCATAGCAGGATTCTCCTTGACTGTATCAAGAGCTTGACCAAGCCATTGTTGTTAACTTTGAAGAGTGTCATTGCAGGGGAGAAGTGCCTGCATCTCCTGTCAGATCCCCTTTGCAAAGCAGTGTACTGACACAACTCAGTACTACTGTAACGTTTCATTTCCTCGCCCTGCCTTCACATCTTCCTTCTCACATAGTTCCAGAAATACCAAATAAATCAAAGGTATAAGAATTTATGGAACCCAAAGCAGCACTGATTTTTGGAATGACTTCGTGATTGTATATGGGTACTAATAAAAGGCAAAGGTTCCCCGAAGCTGCAGGCTATAAAGTGTAGTGGAGCAATATGATTAAGACAGAGTTAAGCTGTATTAAACTTTGATGTAAAAGACACTCCATAGTGACATGTTAATAGATCCCAGGAAAGATTTGTTAACGGACTAAAAATTGAGAAGCTATTTGTAGGCAGTATTTAGGACAAAGAAAATCATTATTTCTTTACAGTTGAGCTTCGCTTATGAATAAGCAGGACAAGGCAAGAATGACGGGTACAGGCAGGGATGCTTGGCTCGGGCGTTCAGCTGGGGCTGCACTGCATTCTACCACCTTGCCTGCCGAGTGCTAATGGCTGGCACTGGGCACTCCTGGCCTAGCCTGAGACTATGCTGCTGAGAGACCAAGACCCTTGGTACGTCCCCTTAAGGACTTTACAGCTGGACAAGAAGGGCATCTGGCGTACAGAATTTGGACACTGACCTCCGCTGAAGAGAGAGAAATTTTACTCACTTGAATTTCTTGTTGTGGGTCCACAAAGGTGATTTGGCATGTGGTGATTTCCTGAAAACTCTGAACCACAGTGTCACAATGTGTTTCCAAGTTAGGACTTCTTTGCAATTAAAAGGCACTGAAGTAGGGCAACTAAATATGAAATGTCTTCAAGGTCTGATCTTTGTAAGGACACGGAGTCCAGCAAATGAATTTTGTCTGGCTGGTATGAGATACTAAAAATTACCCTTATTGCCACCTGAAAGCATTTGTGATAGGGAAGAAATTGGTACTAAAAAGTGCACCTTGGCCTGGCATAATTCCTTTCCAAGCTGACATACTGGAAGCAACAAAAATAACCATCACCTGGAGCGTGCTGCCTCTGAAAGGCAGAAACCACCAGAACAAAGAGCACTGTCTCCTCTTGATCACGAAAGGCTTATTTATTCTTGCTGCATTATTATAAAAGATATCATATATTTTGTAACATGCCGAAAGCCGTGGGGGGCTTTTCCTTGTTCCATCCTATATCTCTGGCTCAACTTTATTTTTCAAATCAGACATTTTCAGTTTCTCTCAATATTAAATAAAAACACAGCAGAAGAAAAATAAATCAAGCACCTTCAAATTAGTTCATCATCTCCTCTGCGAGTGGTCAGCATTGCATCAGCTGTCAAGCATTTCTAAAGCCAGCTTTTATGCCTTGGCACTGAATACCGTGAATAAAATGTCTGTGATAATACCAGTGGTGAGAAATTAAAACCTCCTGGATGTTTTCTAGCATCCACATGCGGAGTCCTAGAGCCTGTCAGGCACTGCACCTGGCAAGAAGCTAACAAATACAGAGCCTGGATGAGGCTTTGCTTGTCTGTGGTGAAGCTGGGCTCCTCTCGAGCCCTGGTAGCAAAGTGTTGGAGCCCTGGGAGCCCAAAGCGATGCTGGATCCTCTCAGGTGATTGCAGCAGGTGCCTGACCAGAAGTTCAGAAACAATACTGAGGTACTGAGATAGAAGCAGTTTGTTGTAGTCGCTGAGGCTCAGCAGTCACAGCCTGGAAACAGCAGGGAAAGATGTGCCAGCTCTACAGGGAGAGAAAGCAGGAGAAACTTCCAGAACAGGAGGGCAACGCCACAGGTGTGGGAGTGAGGAGGTGGGCACAGGATAACGAGGCTGCAGCTGTGTGGTGATGTTGTTCAGCTGCGTGTGGAGCTGACTGGGGGTATAACTGAGAGAGGTGAGCTTGCTGGCCTCAGATATGGGGGACCCCAACAGGATGAAGGTGTGTGCTTGGCAAGCTTAAGGTAGGACAGCATTTGTATGGTTTTTCTACTAATTTTTCAGAACGCATACAAACTGAGTGAGGAAGGCATGCAGGAAGATGTGGGAGAGGGTGTTTTTGTGTGAAATTAGGAGTTTGTTGGAATTCCTTTTCTCTCTTCTGTCTTTTTGCAAGTGTGTTAGTAGTCAGCACCTTTAGGAAGAGATCTGTGGGGAGAAAGTTTGTGTCCTAGGAAGTTAAGAACACGTGTAGGGGAAACAGACCCTGGGTTGGAGGCCATGGGGTACGGCTGTGAGGAGCTCCCTGCTGTGCAGGGACAGGGCTGCAGGCCGTGTGGGCAGCGCTGGGCTGCCATGCCTAAGGAGGTGGCTGTTTTCTGTAGCAGAGTGAGGAAACAAATGTTTTCAGTGCAGGAAGAAATGTCCTGTTTAAAAACAAAAAAACAAAACAAACAAAAAAAGTGAGTATATTTCTTTAAGTTACACAGGTTTTTTTTTTTGTTGTTTTTTTTTTTTTTTTGTTTTTTGTTTTTTTACCTCTAGTGATTTGAGTGTATGCCATATGCTTTTATTACAGGAGATGGAACCACCCTAGAGTTCTGTGTTAGAAGCTAGTGGATGTGTTTTTAGATAACTTTAATAAGTACCAAGCATTTTCTCTTTTGTTTTCACTGAGGAAGTATCACTTTTCTCCTTGTGGAAGGGGGGGGAGTAATGCAACTTTTTAAATGTATCTGTATAAATTTAATGAGAACTTCCTAAAAATAGCTAGTTCCTGTTGAGCTGTGTATGTCACGGTATTCTGTATGTATCACTTATCTTTATTTTTTTAAAGATATGATAGAGAGAAAAGCCATTTAGCAAATCAAGAACAAAAATACAATCTATGTTTGAAGAGCTGCAGGGAGCTGGAGGAAAATTGGCTCTTGTGATGAAGCATTATTCAGTCCATCACACATGTGAACTCCAATTTTGCCCCTGAGGTGAAAAAAGTGAACTTGTTTTCCCTTCTATATAACCTTGGACTCTGCAGGATTTTTTACTGTGTGTTTTTGCCATACCACTTCACGGGGCCCCTGACACAACTAATGATTTGGTATATGCAAGCCTAGAGGGACGAATAGATACTTATTTGCAAAGTTAGGCAAGCAATTATAGAAGAAACGGGACGGTGCTGTTATTCCGTATTTTGTTCTGGATCTCCTCCATTTTCATGGCTCTTGAAGCCATGTTTAATATATTAGGGAGTCATCACTGCCTCTGCCTTGCCCCAGCATCACCTGTGTTCCAGGGCTCTCTGTGGTTGGGCTTGCCTCATGCTGCTTAGCATTGCTCTGAAGGTAGAGTGAGTCAGCTGTTAAATTAAAAATTGAAAGACTGAGTTGAATCCAGTTGTTTGAATGGGTGTATTGCTATAAATCATTAATCAATATATCCTGAGATACTGGAAAGTGTGCACAGTGGGTCCCTTCTTGGGCAGAACTTCAGCAAATTGTAGTTGCAATGTCCTGGAAGCAATGTGTTCTTCTGGAGGGCACGTGGAGTTAAAGGAGAGGGGGAAATACTGTAACAGCATCTCTTCCTTTCTTTCCCGTACAGCTTATTATTACCTTTAGTGTCACTGTAATGCATGAGAGTGACTAAGAGTGATGCTGATTGTGTACTGTAGAGGATGGAGCATGAATTTTCCTCTTTGACTTTCCAGCCCTTCTTTCTGGCCCAGAGCAAATTTTCTTGCTTCTTCCTGTTCTTTTTCAGAGCACTCTAAGAATACTAACTGCATTCTTGTTTTACTGCGCTTTGCTGAGCACAGGGCTGCAAAATCCAGTTGGCAACTGTATGGAGATTCATATGGAAAACTATCCTGGCTCTTTCTTCTTAACTCTCTATAGGACCATCCATTTTGTATCTTGAGGTATACATTATGTACTTGCATATATTATTATTTAATGTAAAAGATATTGCTGTGCATAGCTCCATAGTTTACACTAATGAGTAAAGACTGTGTAGCTTGAAGACAGAGTAAATCTTGAGGTGTTAGCACTTCCTCCTGTGGAAGGGGGAGTAGGATAAGGTTTAGATAGAAGGAAAAAGAATTTGAACAGTATTCTAAGCGAAAAGAAAAGAAGAGCCAGGAGGAAATTGTATGTATTTCAGACACAGAAAGGAGAAAGAAGCTGGTAAAGAAAGTCCTTGTATCAAAGCTGTTAAAATGACATTGTCTTAGAGCAGTGAGACAACTCTGCTTTCTCACATTTCTCTGCATGAGCTAACTTGACCCCAAGCCATTGTTTCCTATGGAAGTGGAATAACTTGATAGGCAGTGTGAGGCAGAATTATTTGAAGTCTTTCAGCATTGCTTCCTGTATCCAAAAAACAAACACAGACATCAGCATGTAAACAGGATGCTCAGCTGTAAACTAGAGCAAGATGTAGCTTGTTCTACATTCAGCTCTTCCAGAAATAATTCTGCTTTAGTAAATAAGGCTTTCTGTATGTGTATCCTACTTTAACACATTTCAGATTGCTGTCAACAAACTGTAAGATTTTAGTGGAAGGTGTTTGTTAAATAACAAGTAAGGCAAACTGGATTTTCGAAGTCAGACCTTCTCTATTTTTGTTGTTAGACTTCTGTATGGAATATGTCTTTTCTGTATTTGGGTAAATGCTGCCAGGGATTTACTGCTCTATTTTCAAATGTGGCAGTTCTTATAGTCTTACTGTTGAGATGCTGGGATAAAAAAAAAGATGATTATAACAGTTCTTGCATTGCGTTACTGCTGTAGTTAGTTTAAAATATTTTTTTTGGGGGGTGGCTGTCTTGCTGGCAAAAAAAAAAAAAACAACCCACCCCAAACCCTGACCTATTTGTTTTTTTGACAGAACTGCTGCAGTTTCTCTTGGAAGTCATAATTTGGACATGCAGAACTGCATCTCATAAAATAAAACCATAGCTCCCAGGATATGCTGCAGTGTCTGCATACAGGGGAACTGTGATTCACTTGGCTTTATGGAGGACCTGGCAGCAGCCTCCCAGTGCCTTTGTGGAGGTTACTGAACAGGCAGAGCCAGGCTTCTTACAGGAAGCACATGGCAGAAGGTTGAGAAGCAATGGCTGTAAGGGGAAGATGTTCTCCTCATTAGTCTGGTTGAGTAAGAGTATGGCCAGAGAGGTTGTAGAAGCTTCATCTGTGGAGATTATCAAACACCAACTGGGTGAAGCTCTGAGCAGCGTGGTCTGACCCCTGCTTGGAGCAGGAGATGGACTGCGCACTTCCCAGTCCTTTCCAGCCCTTATCACGTTGTGATGCAGGGAACAGGGAGCCCAGGCCAAAGCTAAATATGAAATACCCTAATTTCTGTTCCAAGGAGATAAGATGCTTTTAGTATATTTTTAAATTAGCGTTTCTACATTGAACATTCTATTTTAAAATTCTTCTCGACTTACACCCTCCTTCCTTCACTTACTGTAAGGCAGACAGAAGTTTAGGATCACGATCTAATAGCTTTTATCCAAAATTCATGCATCTGTGCAAATATCCTTTTGACTCATAAGGGTAGAGCAGCAGGAATAGGAAACTGTAGCCCAGGAGCCTGGGGAATGTTTTCTTTTGAGCTTCCAGTGAAGAAGCTGCTCTTAGCAGTATGTAGATAGGAGGAATGTGGTAGGCATGAGACAATGTGGCTACTTTCTGCGTTCTTAAAAATCAGATCTAGTTTATGTAATCTACTACTTAAAGTATTTCCCAAGTTTTATTGTCAATACGCTGTGGGTAAGTCAGTCAGACTTTCTCTTCCTAAGGCTTACTGTCAAGAACAAGTTGTAAACCATGTTTATTTTTAACCTCTCCATTTATAGTGTATATTGTAATATGCATAACCTCTGCCATAGGTGTACAATGTCTGGTCTCAGCAGTGAATGATGTTGATTGGAAGGTGAACTGAAACAGTGTAAGGCAAGCTGGAAATAGAAGGTCAAGTGTTAATTGGAAAGGAAGGGCAGCAGCTTGTGATCTACCCAGCATCTCCCTCTGTGTTAATGCTAGAGTTATAAAACAGCTGATTGTCCCTGTTTGTCTCTAAACTGACTCAATCTTTAGCTAGAAAAGTGTGAGGAGGTAAAAATCAACAGGCTATGAAGCCTTGTTTCTTTGTTTTTTCAGGCATGTGCACATATCACTGCTAACAGTGTGTGTTTAAGAGCTGTAAGCACTTGGCCTCAGCACAGCTGGTTATAGTGAGACCAGACAAAGAGGCTCTTCGACTGATATTGATTTACCCTGGTTGGTGTCTTGGTGTAATTTGCACCTTGTCTGTACTAATAACATCTGAAGAGCGTTGACTTGCTGATTCTAGAAATGCAAGTGTTGCGTTTGCCCCTATAGCAAAGATCTCATGATTTAAAATATTCATTGGATGGTGGTTGGTGGAAGCCACACCTTAAAAGGCTTAATGCATGCTGCAGTTTATTTTAATGCAGGGGGTGAATTTAGAGCAGGAAGTGTTTGAGGATGAAAATGTTTGTCCAAGGATGTTTCTCTTTCAAGTCTCTGAAGAACAAGAAGAGGGGTGCCTAAGGAGCAGGGTGATCACTGCTGATGTGACTCTACTTTTAATGATGACCATCACAAATGATGATGCTTTGAGCACAGGATAGTCCACTTGAAGCAGTCGGGCAGTTTGTAGAATGGCTTTGGCCCCTTGCCCTCTTTATCTTAAGGCTCATACTTCTGGCTGCTGAAGAATATTATACCAGTAGCTAAAAATTGGGTAAGTCAGACTTCTCACCTTGGCATTGTGTTCTTTTCTGTTCCTGCTAAGGACGTTCCTTGTTTCTCTGTGTATTATTAAAGGCAAATCTCATTTGTCAAAAAAAAAAAAAAAAAAAAAAAAACCCAAAAAACCATGAAATAATGAAATCTAATAAGTTTGAGACCATACAGTAACAGGCAAAGACTAGAACAAGTTTTTATCAATCTCTTAAAGACTAGTATATAACTTCCCTTATCTTTGCTCAGTTTATAACCATTACACATTCCTAGAGGCTAAGAAACAATATAAAAAACTTAATCTGAGTTAATTAGTGTTCTGTTAGAGGATAAGTGTTGCTAACAGATTAGTACCAGTGATATCGCTGCTAGTGATAACTTTGCTCCAGACTCTGCTGGGTTGCAGAGTAATGGTATGTATGCATGAGTCTGTAATGGTTGCAGTTCCGCATGAAACACAAGGTCGAACCAACTGCTTGAGTCTTACTGTGTCATCTCAATTCTGTGTACTATTTACAAGGGCATGAAGCTGTTTAGACATACAGAGCATATTGTTCTAAAACACTTAATGCGTAGAAGGGAATTGGGTGTAGTCTGCCATTCTGAAAACATAACAACAAAATGCGTGTTAATTTTATATTTTTCTTTATAGGCAACAACTCTTAGTCTGTTGCACAGTCAGCTTTTGGCATACCATGAAGTTGGGCTTTCTGATGGAGTTATAAATATTCGTAGCTTCAAGCTGGCTGCTGAAATTATTCTGCTCAATCTTATTTTAAAATAAGTATAAATATAGCTGCTTCTTCCCTAACTCTCCTCTAATGACTTTGTTGGTCTTATAAAGTGATTAGGCCTCCTTATCTCAGCTAGGGATGCTGCTAAACGAAGTTCAAATACCTATCTTGCTGGGATTATCCTTCAGGCACTATTTAAATGACCCACCAGCAAATATATCTGCTTTAATGTGACATTTGTTGTCCTTGCTGCCTTCTCATGCTAGTTCTGTCAGACATTCTCTTTTTTTTAACTACTGAAATTAATCTTTTCATTTCTAGAAATGGCAACCTTGTTGATAAGCCATTCCTTATCTTTGACTGATGAACTCTAATTTCTATTATGCTTTGAAAGCCTTTTTATTTTTCCTTTGAAGTATCCATTTATCATTGCCTCACGCCTAAAAAACCTGACCATTCAGAGTGGGATTGTCTTGCTCCACACCCTGGTGCTTGGTATGAATGTGTAACAAGCAATCTATATGATGGCACCTGCAGGCTGCTAAGGTCGTTTGTTCTACTTGAGTTACTGTTTTTGCACACTGTGTGTTATGTTTTGCTTAAAAACTAATTTAATCACCCTTAGATTTCAAAGCTTTGGCCACAGGGAGAGAAACTGTTAATATCCCAAGATAACGCCAACTGAAATGAGAATCAATGAAAGCACTAAACCACCCTTTCTGCCATCTGATAAGAGGCACTGAAGCAGTGCTACCTCTCTCAGATCTATTCTGGATCCCTTCTGCTTCCCAGTATTTCCATTCTTTTTCTAATTTCATTCAGTCTAGTCTAGACCTACTTTATGGTCTTTGCTCAGTACTTCACCCTTTACCCAGCATTTAACAAAAAAGCCAAGCAAGATTTTTCTCATGAAACTGCTGTGTTTCTCTTTACCGATCTCAGCTATGGATTTGTTTATCCTGATTAGAATTAAAGCCTGTGCACTGCCGGAACTAGTGCGAAGAGATCAAGTGGGATTCCAAGTCATGTGTTTTCATTTAAATTGCAGTCACAGAAGTGTGCTGGAAATTAAAAGGCTTAATAACATATTCTTTTCTCTGGTCTGCATTAGAACATGTAAATCGGGTACAGGCTGTGCTTTAAAGAAAGCCTAAGCTCTAGACAAACAGCCCTCCTCCTCTTACCCCCAATTTATCCACTTTAATCTGGATTTTTTTTTTTATTGGTATGACTTTTAGCTATATTCAATAAATGGAGAGCAATAATAGAGGCTGGTATGATCTTGATGAAATGTTGTTATTGTCTTAGGTTTGCAGTTGTCCTTTCAGTCATCATAATATTTGCTTCCTTTGTTAGAGTTTACTTGGGCATATGTCTGGAAAACAGTTAAGAAATCTCAGCTACCAAATAGTGGAACAAACATTATTGCGAGGACTTTTGTACTTGCTCATGTAAATGTTTCTCCTGCTAGATTGTAACTGTGATAGAGTATTAGCAGACATACTCCAGCCTATGTCAATCACCCAAAGCTGCCTTTGAAATCAGGTGGCTTGCTGCAGTCTTTCATTCTTGTATCCTATACAGTCCTCTGATGTCAATGCAAGTAAATCAATACGTGGGGATTCTTTCATTTTATTTTATTTTATTTTTAAGTTATCAGTGGGTTCACCTTGATCACTAAACTGGGCACAGATTTAAAAGGTTTCACAATGAATGCTCATAGCCTGGTCTGCTATGGGTACAGCCCCAGTGATGGGGGCTGAAAAGATCATAGAAACAGCATAGAGGGTACAAAAACCAGGTATCCTCCTCAATTTTTAAGTACTTGGGTCTGATTTATGACAGGCTCATAATTAGGGTTATGAGGAGTAAGGAACGTGCAAGCTTCTGCAGTGTGATTTGGAGGAGGTGCAAGGAGGAAACTTGAGTCCAACGTGATGGTCTCTCCATGCAGCAGACAATGCTTGTCTGTAAAAGCTACAAGGTCTTGGAATGAGAATATGTGTTGACCTGTTATGTTCACTTGGTTCTGTAGAGAAAGCAAATTATAGGAACATATGTATCTACCACATGGCTTGTGCTCAGAGCAGTATGGACAAGCTCTGCTCCTATCCATAGGAGGACTAATGGTTCGAGTTACTGTTGATTTTAGGTAAAAACTGGAACATTGTTTTATCAGGGTTTTTTATTTTAATTAGCAAGCTTTAGAGAGGATTAACATAGTAAGTGTAACCCCTGCTTGTGTGTACCCGGTATTGTGTAAGAGGGAGTTTGTGCCAAACGAACAGGCAGGCCCTGCCTGAAAGAGCTTAGAGTCTAGTGGGACAAACAAAATGCACAACGAATGCGGAACAGCATATGGCCATCACAGTTGGTCTTAAATAGAAAGAGATTAAATTCTTACGTTTCTGCAACTTGTCCAAGCAATCCAAGTGCCCCAGAATTGTTATGATAACCTGCCTGGCTTCTTTCTATAGATTATCTTAATACTTTCCCCTTCTAGTATCAGCATGACTCTCGTGCTGATATTCTGAGTGTTCAACAGGGATCTTTCTGAAACTTATACCTTTTTGTTTTAGAATCTCATGCAATATATTTATATATTTTTTTTTTTGAAGTAATATCTTCTGTTTACTGCTGAAATATTCCATATGGTCATTTCATTCATACAGTTAATTAAATACCTCTGTAGGGAGGCACTGCACTGCCTGTATTGTGGGCTCCAGAGACGCTCCTGATTGATCACTAGGTAAAGCTTTCCCTCTTTAGGACTTACTGGAATACTTTTTCACTATTTAAAGAGCTATGGAAAATAATAATGAACTACATCAAGAAAACACTCAGTGTCTTCTTGAAAAGTACATGAAACTTTGAAGCAAGCTTCTAGAAACCTTTTTAAATTTGGTTTTAAAAAAAAAAAGTATGAGTGTTCATTTCTATTCACAAGTAACAGCAGAAATGTTTGGACA